TACAGCTTCTCATTCTACCTCCCTTCTCAACTTTTTACATAAAGCAAGCATGGTAGAATTAAAGACTGGATAGAAAGGAGCTTATACAAACAAATACAGTCGCAAGAAAATACACATAATCGTACAAATATTCTCGACACTTCAATTGCGATGTTCCCAGAAAACTGGAAGTACTTGCAATGGGATCAGATTGCAAAAGGGGTCACATATATTATATCAGGAGATCTGTTGCTCAACTGTCCTACCGATTACAATAATATCGTGATAGTTTTCAGTGTTTAAAAATAGCTAGTGTCATTTATATATTATTCAAGCGCTAGAACGTGTTTCTATTTTTCAATCTCTAATCCGTAATTTAATCCTTAAGCCTTAAGCTTGTCGTAAATCAGCACGGACTTGAAAAAGAAAATAGTGTTTGCAATATGTGTGTTGAATATTAATAGAATGTAGACACGTTGAGGGAGGGGTACCTGCAACCCCGGGAATAAAATGGAATGGTTTGCATTGAAAATATCAAAGAGTAAATGCATTTAACAGTTTGGTGAAAAAATACATGTATTGTCCAGGACGTGTGTTCACATTGTGTTCAAGGTATAGTTCAATACAATATATACTATAGTTTCGCGTATTCATTGAACTTTGAATCGACCAAAACACCATTATAAACAACTAATCCGACTCCGCCTACGCCGTCTGTTATCACTGGCAATACAACATTTTTCATTTCACATATCGCTATATTCCATTGGAGTTTGACAAATTCAATTTCGTTATTCAATCCATCTACTCACCTTGCGCCCATTTTTCAACTCCACCAATTTGGGCCTGTGTCTACTGTCCCGTGGATTCAGTGATAAGTCGGTGGGTGAAGTGGATTGCCATCGCCCGCCAGCGACGACAGTTGGAGCGACGAACCTCGCCCGTGACAGTCCAGAACATGCCCTCAGTGCTGCTATACTTGATAGTGCTTTGCGTATCATCTTGTCAGAAATAACCAGTAACGAAATGTGCAATGTGTGTATGTGTCTCCTCTCGCAAAGAGCTCCTGTGCAGTAAACTGTGGATGGAAGCAGAAAAGCAGAGATTTAAAAAAATAGATCGGATTTGGACTTAAAATAGTGCACGGTATCTGTCCGGTATCGGCCCGTATTGGCTGTAGTGCCATTCAAATGGTAGCGTCCGTGGCTGGGGGTGTAAATAAACCTTTGGACAGGTAAGCGAATTCTGAAAAACCAAGCGGCACTATGCTATAAACACATTAACTCAATCTACCGCTTGCCAAATATTACTGATTCAAAAAGCAATACAGTTTGACCACATAGGATTATTTTACCTATCATCCTGTAGTTGTTGTCTTTAAGTGTGCAATTCAACGTTTATTATTTTATGGAGAAACAAACAACAACAAAAAGAGGTTGTTAATTGCTGCGTAGAACATGGTCAATAACTGCAGCCTTTTTTTTACTGTCAGTCTATTTTAGTCAATAGGAGACCCTCCCAGTCATTGTCCATGAGCAGCACAAAAGGGAAGGAATGAATGCCAGCCACCAGATAAACATTTGATGATGGGAGAGCGTTCAGGATCGCTGATCATTTCTAAGTGGGGTTTCGCAATCGGACAAGGGGGTATGGTGAATAGTCCACATGACTGGCATAATAATCATTGCTAAATAGGAACAACTGGGAAATATGATTTTTTACCTTATTTGCTCAAGTTAACTGACAACACTATTACACAGGACAGCCTGAGGAATATTCACAAAATGTCAAAATATGTTGGACATTTTAAATTGAATATTACTCAAAATAATACCACACTGAGTCCGAATAACTGAAATTAACCAGTCCATACAGACTATTATTTTCTAGGGTTGAGCAGGTTAGAAAACGGTATGCAAATTATACGTTCTATCATCATTAAGCTATTTTAAATTCACTAGAAAATGCGTGTACATTCATGCACAAACTGAATCTGTCTAGGTGCGGTTTTATTTCTGTATATTATACTTCGTCTAATTTCAATCATGTTTCCATGGTTTCCAGTGTTTTATTGATAGCCGTATTCAGTTACAGAATTTTAAAAAAAAATGAAAATATGTTTTCGTATACCTTGTATTACCCGGTGTCGTATCAGGGCAATAATGTCCCATATTAAGCCCGGCCCAAGCACGTCCGGTTTTCTTCAATCAAAACAAAATGTGTCTTTTAAATTACGTCGCGTGTTTGAGGGCAAGCCGTGGTAATTTTAATTACACCTAAAATGTATCTATGATAAAACCTTTATAATTCTGGGTACTTAGGTGCCGCACTACCTCGGGCCGCAAAATAGTAAATTTTATCATGTTTGAAAAAACTAACAGAAAAATATACAAAGAAATGTAAGAGGGTATCGAATACAATTTCTATTTTTTAGGACGTTTTGACGCGTGCATATTGAATATTCGAAGAAACTACTAAACTTTCTCACAAAAATAGAGAAATTGAAAAAAAAAATCCCTGAAAGATACGAAATAATAGAATGCTTTCGAAAAACCAAACAACTTGTATAACTTGTGAGCAACCATATCGAAAAGTCACAGTGTAGGAGATCGGAGAGATAGAAATACGAGTTGCAGATTTAACAAGAAATAATACTAACACTTCGATCCGCCGGTGTCTCGCCCACAGTTTAATCAGATGAAAGTGGACCTAGGGTTAGCCAAACTGTGTACTTTGTTAACTTTATCGGATATTTGTAAATGAATATGACATCTCTGGTGAACGCGTCAATGTACATTATAAGTAATATTGGTTTTGAATTAAAACGGTGCAAGTATTTCAACGCGAGGTATACAAATTGTCTTTGATAACATGCTTTGTAGGAATCTATACCGTGACGTTAGGTCGTTTCTACGTATATGCACTTAATCCGCCCGCGGTCTTCTTATACGTATGTCGGTAATACATTTTTCTGCCACCAGCCAT